TCAGCTCCAGCCTCGAGCAACACCCGCACCACTTCCAAGTGGCCATTGAAAGCTGCATCCATCAAGGCGGTTGCCCCATCTTGAAATGCTGCCTTCGGGTCAGCTCCAGCCTCGAGCAACACCCGCACCACTTCCAAGTGGCCATTGAAAGCTGCAGCCATCAAGGCGGTTGCCCCATCTTGCCTTGCTGCGTTCTGGTCAGCTCCAGCCTCGAGCAACAGCCGCACCACCTCCAAATGGCCCCTTTCTGCAGCAAGAAGCACATGTGGAGGTTCAATGTCTGCACCTGTCCCATTAGGATTCAGTGGTTTCTGAAGCAAGCTTGTAACTTCGACAACTTGATTGTTCTCACACGCAAAGTGTAGTGCGTGCCAATTGGCCTCCTCAGGCGCATGGTAGTCCAAGATTACTAACTGCAAACTTGGTAGTGGTCTGACAGGCATATCATCCTGTAGCTCGCCCATCTCTTTGCTCAAGAGTCTAAGTCGAAATCTTGAATATCCAATCTTTGTGGCAATGAGCGTCTTCAAATCTCTAACATACTTTCCACTCTCTACCATGCAGCCCAATTCTTCCTCATGAAGCTGGGTGAGAATGGCACCTGCAACCGTTATAATCTCCATTGCTCCATTCCTAGAGGAAGTGGCTGATCCAACATGGCTTGAGCCAAACAAGATATATAGACAATATAACATATATTTTATTATATATATATATATATATATTGAGTAAGGTCCAAGTATACATGTATATATATATAACTACTTAATGTGAAGACCATACCTAACAATAGTTGTTTGAGCACTGATCTTGGGAGTTGAAGGGACTAGGAAAGGATCTTCAAGGAGAAAAGAAACAGGCCCAGCAGTGGAAGCAGTGGAAGCCTCGACTGCTGCGCCTTGAGTCGGCTGAAGTTGCCCCTCGACTGCTGGCCTTACCGTAATGACACGAGGTTGGAGGGAGTCTGTCACGACATGCTCAGAATCAGCTGCGCACTGTGGACGTTTTAGGTGATCTTGAATGGTCAATCTGTCCCAGCCACCTTCTGTCTATCTCTCCTGACCTCCCTCTCCCTCCCTCTCTTCCGCGGTGTCCTTTTCCTGGGGTCTACGCTGGATGGCGGTATCATGTTTAAATGTCTTTATAAAACCATGCTTGAAAATCATAAAAAGCATCCTTTCACATCACCTTCCCAGCGGAGGGCTTCATGATTCGAGGACAAACACACCGTTCCACTGACCTGCTGGGGTTCCCACCCCTTTCCCACCCCAGCTGCGACCTTGCGGAGCTTTCTCCGACCCACGGGAGCTTCTCCTGAAAGGCCCCACTCCGGCGGAGCGTGCCGACGCCATGCCGCGCGCACCAGCACCTGAGAGCTGGCGAGAGCTGCTCCTGGGACACCGGCGAGCAGGCGACTCCGGCGAGCAGGGCACAGGGAAACGGCTCGCGAGAGCTCTCCACAGTAAGGCCAGGAGCCCCTATAGTAGCGTCCTTGTTACTAGTAACTAGTAGCGATGCACTTGTCGCCTTCCATGGATCCTTCATGAGCTCTCAAGATCCAGCTCCCGAACCGACCCCTGTTGCTTTGATTCGCCGAACCGAAGGGAAGCCTCTCTCTCCGGAGGTGAACCTCCGCGCCGGTCGCGCCTGGAAGCCCTTCCAATCGACCTCCTCCCGGCGAGACGCCCAGCAAATCGCCTCAGACGCCCAAAACGCGCGCAGTGCGCGCGCGCCGAGATCGGCGGAGTGATCGGCGGACGACGAGTGATTGCCTGTGAAGGAACTGGCAGTTCTCCTGGTGCGGAACCCGATGTGGGATGAGCGAACTGACTTTCACATCACGGACATCCTCCACTGCGGACATCACCCTCACATCCCTCAACCCTTTGGGCAGCTCGGGGCGCAGCATCCACCTCGCGGCACCACTGCCTGCGCCCCGTCGCGCCGAGCCGAGAAAGCGACGGGTTTTCAGGGGGTTTTTTAGGAGAGATCCGCGAACCGACGGAGGTGCCTACACCGACGTGGTGGTGGTTTTGGGGGGGGCACCTTCTTCACAAGAAGGATCTCCAAAGAAAATGAGATGTCATAGTTCCCATATGCAACAGTCTTGATGGCTGTCCTGAAAGACCGACCATTGATCTGAGAGAGCAACCCCACTTTTCGGCATCCCTGCGAACTGTGTTATCTGTGTTATTGACGTATTTACCAGACATGTACATCTTTATATCTTTGCAGCTTCAACCACCTCCATTGTCTCTTGAACTGGCCCGCACCTCATGATTCTCATATGCAACACTGGAGATGGTGAACTTCAGGACTTTCAGCACCAGGAGCGCTTCACCATCCGAATGGATCAACCCCAAACCCCTCAGCGGGGTTTAACCACTCTCACCGGTCCGCATCGTTCGTTCGTCCGCACCAACCCACCTCTATTGAACGCACTGCCCGGGACGGCGCCTGAGTTCCCGGAGGTCGCTGTACTCCACAGACGAGTGCGGCGCTGCAGCGGGCGAGGGGGTGCAGGCCAGCACCCAGTCCTGGTGAGAGACCACGGTGGTGCGACCGAGAGAGGGAACCACGTGGTTCCAGCGATTCACTTGAATGATCTTGACATTGGTTGTTTGTGGGTATGAGTCTCGCTTGATTCACATGGACTTGCCAACTAATTGCATCCACAAATAATGACCCAAAGATCTACAGGTTCAAAAAGTGGGAATACTATTCGCTGAGTCACCAGCCTGCAGTCAATGGACTACCCCAAGGTATGTCAATATGCCATGCAGTGTTTGGGCAGCTGCCTTTGATCAAAGACATGTTTCGAACCAAAAGGTGCGCTGTTGAACATCGGATTCCTTGATGCCCAGAAGCTGTTTGGGTCACGGTGCCGGTGGGTCACCACAACCGGGACTCCTGGATCCTTTTGGTGCGACAAAGGCCGGCCGCAGTAGACACGGGTGACCTGTCTGGACATCTGAATACGACTACACTCGATGGTCGTCACCAACATGACCTCGGTCATGTCTACCCGAGCACCGTGAAAAAAATGCACAGAGTCCGCCCAACTCACCAGGATTTGGCAGCTCCCAAACGACCAAACCGACTGTTCCGGGCAATGTTTGATGTCGTTCGCGCATGGCGCGAAAGCCCGTCGTCCCAGTCATGGCGCCCAGTCGCATGGCCCGCCCTGTGGCATGCACCTACGAAGGAAGGGCCACCTATGATGTTCAACTCATCCGGAGATGGACCGGACCCAAGACCGTCTCTCTCCTCCAACTCCGGCTGCATGAACTCACTCACCTACAGGTTTGGCGGGAGGTCTCGGACGTGTGCGGCGAAAGGATCGATTCCAAGCGTCTGGGCTTAGAAAGGACCTTGTTGGGGGGCGTCCTTTCTACAAGGGCCACTGCGTTTACACAGGTTACAGCAGTTTGGATGCAAATCCGAAGGTTAACAATTGGATTTCCACAGAAATCCCAAACCGATCCAAAACATTCCAAACCCCCGATTCACATACCCTCCCTTTGCATGACCCACCTGCGGCTCGTCGCTGCTTTCCATCATCGTCTTCTCTAGAAGATACACTGACACCCTCACAGACAAACACAAAATCACAAAGCCAAGAGATGAGCCGGAAGATTCTCCTTACCAAAGGGCCCCTCTCTTACCTCAATGTAGAAAAGCATTGTGCCTCTCCTGATTAAGGGGCCCTACTACCGCCCTAAGAGGGGCCCTCGCCCGAGTTCACAGCTCTTCAAACCCGCGACCGCCACCGCTGTCTGGTCCGCTGACGGGCACGCCTCATGGATGGTGACGTGGTAGCCGTCGGCCACCTGCGCCAAGAAGAGAGGCGCCCCAGGGAGCAGCACCTGGGGTCGAGAGACGTCGAATCACAGTTGCTCACCCTTTTCCTAATCCATGTCGTTTCAGAGGGTTGGGGGGTCACAATGTGCCAAGAAATGGATGGCGGAAGCTTTGAGTATGTGATAAGACCAAGAACAATCCCCAACAGCTCCCACCAATTTGTTGACTAAGTAATGGCAGCAAATACGTCAGTGTGTTTGTTAGACACTGCTGCTTTCAAAAGTGTGAACCTTTTCACTGCGCCATGCGAGCATTTTAACATGGCAATACGTGAATGCCTCTACATATGTGCCCAAACATGTGCAAGCATAACAACACCGCAACAAACAAAACCCTTCGAACGTTCGGAAACTCCCCTGGAACCGGCTTTAGAAACCCAGCGCGTGTCAGCATGACACGTTGGCATGATAGTGTGACCCATGCCAGTATGGCAATACGTCAGCATTACAGCCCGACAACTTGCCCGCGTGACACCGTGCCAGCATATCAGCATAACAATTGCAATCACAACAACATGTCTAAATACTAATATGTACACGTCTGCGTGACAGCATTCTACATACACGGCACATCAACAGGACACCAGCTTATCGGCCTGGCAAATACAAAACTGGTTGGTGCTTTCAACTCAAAAGGTTGAAAGTTATAGGGCGTTAGCAAGGATCAGCAAGAACCGGAGGTACAGTAGCCTGGCGGCGTGTAAACATGTCCGACAACACGACAACATGTTGCTGCAACAACGGCGGTGTCAGCACGTTACGCCATCATAGATGTGGCAAACTGCTCCCAAATTCCGGAACCTTCTCTCCAAGTACCCTCCTTTTGATATCCCAGCTTGAGAAAAAAGCTGGTCTTGCGTTAAAAGTCAGCATGACAGCCCGACTGGTCTATCCGATGATCCCGAAGTCTGTACCGTCAGGCTGGTGGAAAAATAAGCTGCGTCGCACAAAAGGCGATGATCCGTCTCTGAAGAAGCTCCGTCTCGAAGCTCGATCCCTCAAACCCGAACGTCCTTCGCGGATCCAACATAACCTGTTAGGGAATCCGTCCCTTCGGACAATCCGTTACGTCCCACGCAAGCTCCGAGCGGTTCTTCCGTATCCTCCGAGCTCGGCACGTTGTCCGCCAGGACCCGTGCGCCCCGGTGCAGCGCGGGCTCGGCCGAGCGGAGGTCCTCCTGCGACGCACCCACCCACGCCGGCACCCGAAGAGATGGAGATGGAAACACATGGAGAGCAATTGGTATACTGGGGAGGTTTTATCAACCAAGAACTAAGAGGTCGTTTTTATGGTGCTGTAGTTGTTTGTTCTTTTTTCGGGGCTGGCGGGTGTTTGCACTTGTCCCGAGCGGGTTGAAGGTCGCCCCTCACCGCGCAGGTCCGTGCCTGGTAGACGGTGCCGCGGTGATCCAGAAGGAGCACATCCATCTGCCCCAGCTGGCCACTGGCCAACCAATCCCAGGCAGAGCCCACCCGGAGCTGCACCTCCCCTGCAAAGCTGCGCGAGTTCCGCAGGAGAAGGAAAAGGTGAATTAGTTTGTGCGCCGGGAAAATACAATAAAACCTCCGGTAGGAACAGAATTGTTGACGAAGGTACGGATGTTTTTTGCGCTTCAACTTCATCTGTCCTTTTCCCAGCAGCACCCCCTGTTGGACGCAGCTGCTTCGCTGCTTCCCCACCTTGGACGTTGGCCCAATGCACCAACTCATTGGCGAAGGGCCAGGTGAGCGCGTTCACGTCGCACGACTGGATGCGCCCACCACCGCCTGGCCGTCCAACAGCCGTGGGCTCGGCAGGTTTTTTGCGGCAGGGATGCCAGGAGGGGGCCATGCCATCGCCAGGCCCATGATGATTTCAGGGAGTGCGTCACGCCATGCCCTAGTAAACAAAGCACGAGTGAGGGTCACATCGACCACAACAGCGAGTGGACCCAGCATGGTGAATTTAAGCCATAGTCTAGTTGTTTCACGAATTGTCCGTGCTTTGGGGAACTTCTTTGTACCT